GGCTGATTCTAATGATCGAATACCCGATGGGAGTACCATGTCTCTCTTTTGACGATGTTTGTCGGTGTATCAGTTCTAAGATAACGAAATTCCTGCAAATATTGTGCTATTAGGAATACTTGTGTTGACCACAATAAGCACCATTATAACGCAGTAATTATTTATCATAAAGAGTGAACTTCAAGACTGATCTCTACCACATTTTTTCTAGATCTAAGCCGTAACGTTCGAACTAACACATACGTTATCGTCACACTCAAAAGTGATACAAGAGAGCTAAGAACATTGCAATGGGAGAAAAATTTCGAAATATATGCTGTCCATTTATAGTAATCGATACAGATGTGATGTTGAAAACTGTAAAGTACGTTGAGTTCGATCGAAAGCTGAAAGCCACATCAAAAACTATGACATTTTTACATCTGACTGTTATCGGATGTGAGGTCATCGAGGTATGTACAAACATGAGCTGGTTTCCCTCTCAAGTTTAACATAAGATCCACCGGAATTTACCGGGTGAAATCTGTGGCTCAGCAGACCTTTAACTATAGATCACTTTTTCAAACTGTAATTATGTTTGCATGTGCGTAATTTTTTTTTGGTGAAAATTCACAAGGTGTTGGTGGTTAGGTGGTCAACGTTATCAAAATCGTGGTCCAAACGTTCCAGATTCGAACCGCTTCAGCGCTGCCCATCTATTCCATTTCTGTATTTTCTCAGCCAGTCGTTTTATGGCAGCGGCTCTTTTCTTGAAAGTTGATTATACATTTGTTTGTTCATTAAATAAGAAGGAAGTGAATGGTTACCTATTTTATTTTATAATAAGAAAACCTTGACTGCAAGTAAATGCCATATCAGTTTGTATAAAAGGAAGAAGCTGACCGTCTACTTTTAGGGAGCTTAAGATTGCTCACGTTTCATCGCTCACAATTGGAAAACATTGAATAATCATATTGCAATCATTTGCTGAATGGTGTTAAGCAGATTCAGCGGAATCTGTGTTAGAAACAGGGACAAGTAGCTGCCTCGTTAGTGGTCGTCAGTGGTAAGGGCGAGGCATGTATTACAGCAAATTAGTAAATTCTATTCTATTAGTAAATTCTACTTGTTGGATTCCATGCAAACACAACTACCGTTAGTGCTCGAAAATGAAGCATATCAAAAAGAACATGAGCATGATGAACGTATATTACCTGTATTAAGTCTGTGAGTCATTTTGATCAATAAATTCTGGTAGTGTTTTCAATGGGGCTTTGTTATTTTTAAAGCGATACACCAGCAACCGTCGCCGAAATCAAGAAGTTGTACATTCTAATGGCATCGGACTAATAGCAGCAAAGAAAAAGGTTGATATTATTTTGGACATATTGCCACTGATGTAGGGAAATATTATATTCAATCCCGTGAATGAGGCTGGAATAACAAAGCGTTGGGAGGAACAAATGTTATGAAAATTAGGGTACTGCAAGAATTTGGTCAATAACTGTAGTTGCTATGTCGAGTGTGAAAACTTCAGAAGCCTCGGTGGGATTCGAAACAACGCATGGACGCCCCTTCACTTTTGTACAGCGCACGCTTCACCAGCTAAGCGACCAGGCCTCACCAGTAATACTGATCTGTACAATTATCTTACCTTAGGAGTTCATTCGGTGAACTCCGGTGAACTTTAAGGAAAAGCTCTAGCGGTTGTCAGCTTACAAGCTAACTGGTGGATGCCATGTGCCTCTGTATGTTGGACGGGTATTTCGAATGTAAAATGATCAGTGCTATCGGTATGGCCTCGTAGCTTAGCTGATTGAGCGTGTTCTGTTCAAAAGCGTTGACGGCGTTCATGCATGCGTTCGAATCCCACTGAGGCTACTGAACTTTTCACAATCGACATAAAAACTTCAAATTTGCCTAGTAACAATCTGAACAATACCTGTAGTATGTTCTCATTATGATTTGAACCAGGCCGTATTTATTCTTCATTTCAAAGTTTACGGTACATGGTAACACACCGATCTGAATAGCTTCATTTTTTGGTATTATCGTCTTACCCATGTTAAATACAACTGTTTTGCATAATCGTTTGACACTTTGTTTTCACTGCCTTGTGCTGAACACCGGGCAACACCCGTTGCAGACTTGTTTAATTTGTGCATATCCTCCAGAAGAACCCTGAATCGCAGGAGGGCTGCCGGATAAGACTCATTCCCAAGACGGGTTCTTCAAAATATCGACCGATTGCACATACCTCAGCCCTGTTGAAAGTTTTTGAAAGAGTACTGTTGAACTGTTTGGCTACCCTCCCTGATGTACCTGATCACCTCCAGTTTTCTTAAAAGAAAACCCTTTCGACTGTGGACGCTGTGGAGTATGTTGTCCATTCTGTGGCCTCAGTTCTTGATAGGAGTGCTGGAACTGTTTGCATTATTTTTCTCGACCATCCCAGTGCCTTTGGTTGTATTTGTGTGCATTTGTTTAACTTAAGCAAGCATATGTGATTACATTTCAGTTAAAAATGTACACTATTCGTCACGCAGAATGAAATAATGATAATCAAAAAGGGAAGAATGTCGGGGATATATTTTTCATGTTTCAAGGAAAACACAACGGACATACTTGACCGAATGGTTCAATGATTTGGTGATAAATTGCACTAGAGTAGATACGGTGTCCAATCTAGATCTGTTTGGTTTGTATGCAAACTGAAGGGGGCCGTGAGCAATTGTGGGGTCTGATTGCAACCGACTCAGGACGGCTTTCTCAGTTACCTTCAGAGCCGCTGAGTGCAACATGATAGGACAAAATCGTTTCGCAAGAACAGTTAAGGACGTGGATTTGGGGATCGGAATAATGGTCACTGAACTCCAAGAATGAGGAATCGACTGGGAAGATAGGGACTCATTGACGACGGATGCCATCATATTGGTTAGAGAAACAGCGCCAAATCTCAGAAGTGCCGGAGGAAGACCATCAGGGCCTCTCAGCAGAGGATGCTTTAAAATGTCGAAGACGCTTAAAGATTAAATCATTGGAAAAAGTCGCTGAACTGGATTCATTAGAAATAGAAATGAGGGAATCTGGCTCTTTTTTGACGAGTGGATGAAAGCGGCCTTGAGGCTGTTGACATCCACAGAGGTTCTGGAATGTATTCTGTTCTGCCCACAGAGAAGGCGAATACCTTGTCATAAGAGCCTGGTGTTCTTCGTTAGCAGAATTTGGGCGGTAAAGATTGCATCGTGGAACGTTATTTCGGACCTGATTAAATCAGAATAGTGCTTTACAAGCGATACAAAACGAGATTTGTAGTCCAGTTCTTTATAACTTCTCAGTGAGTTAAAAAAGGGTGGGGTAATTCTACCGTAACAGACAAACAGGGTTTTCATTGGACAACAGAAGTTAGAGATCGATTTAATCGTATCATTGAATAGATTGATAGATTTAGAAAGCGAAGGAAAAGAAACAAACCAAGACTGAAGAACCACAATAGAACGGTTGAGTGAAAAGTTGGGTCATACGGTTGGGTGAAAAGTCCCTTAGATGAAGTTTTATCCTAGTAGAACGTGTGAATGCTTGATAAGCAATGCGAGAGTATACTTTTGGTCTAACAAGAAGAATACTATGATCACTGGGGTTATCAGTCTGAGAGAGAATAAGTTGGGGTGGCTTTTTGATCATTCTGTCCAGCACAGAACTACCTCTGGTAGGAGAATGAGAAAGGTCAGACAGACCAAACAGAAGAAGAGGAATGCTTGCATGATTGAAATCACCAACAAATAAGTGAAAATTTTCATCTAATAATGAAACTAGAAACAAAATATAGGAATCAAAGAAAGCAGAAATATCGGTCCGAGTACACGTATACACATTGGTGATGATTGTACTTTTGTGACGAGAAAATTTAGGGTGACAACGAACAGGTAAACAGTCAATGCATTTTTCAGAATAGTTATATATAACATCCAACTTACCACACCAGGAATCATTGATGTAAGTAGCAACACCGTTTCCGATTTTTTTCCTACTTCGCTATCTATCCTGCCAGTAGCAATCAAACCCTTCTATTCGCTCGAGAACGTCCTCAATGTTTCGATTCAGCCAGGTTTCTTGCACACGTACAACACATGTGTTGGAATTAATGCGTGTGTTCAGAATAAAGGTTAAACCCGAGATCTTCGTGAATAGTGAGCGAACGTTAGTGGTGACCAGTGATGGCACAGTCATCTTGGCAGCAGGGGTGCAAGCAAGTGCAGTCTGCCATCCGGCTCGTCTGAGATTTTTGATCCAAGGACTTTTATGACTCACATCAAACAAACAATCATCGGGTAGAATTCACAGATTTTAGTCGTAGCATGTCCTGTTGAGAATAATAATAGATTCTGGACATGATTAGCACCGGTATATGAGCGAGGCAAAAGATAAATTCCAACGTGTCGAACAAGCACGAGAGTTTAGCGCAGCCAATCGAAGGGCGCGTTCGGTAAAGGAAGATCGTCGAATTCTCATTCAACGTCTTACTTACTGCGGCTTAGGTTTCGACGTGTTAAACGTTCTTGTCAACTACTTCTCTTTTAAAACGCAATTTACCTCTTGCAATGGTAAAACGTCGTCGTCTTCTTATGTTAACTCCGGTGTCTTCCAGGCTCCATTTTGTCTCCCTTCTTTTCCCCCTGTACATAAACCACTTGCCTGTTCCTAGCAACTTTATTGCCTGTAAGTATGCGGACGATGTGGCGATTGGATATCTCCCCAATATCTTTCCACCAACTTCAAATCAGTCGGAATAACGTTTTCAGTTGTTCTCTACCCTGACCACTCATGCTTAATGTTTCCAAATGTGTTGATGTTCCCTTCAGCTCCCGATATCAAACTATCTTTCATGATTTACCGGACCAAGTCACAGCATTCCCAAATCTGATTTTCGGTCAAATAAACAAAAGCAGTCAATTATTCAACAGCTATACACTTATATACAAACAGAGCATTTATCGAAGAGATAGTGATGAAAGAAAAATTTATAGATGATTAACAGAACAGTACAATTTACTGTAAAACGATGGATCGAAATCGATCACAGTTTGACCAAATTCCCGTTCATGACTGATTTTTGTGAACAACCACCATTCCAGACAGTCGTAGGCCAACGGTTGAAAGTCGTAGATGAATTTGTTGACAAAAAACTCTTGCCGTCTGATCAGGTTTGGTATATTTCTCACACCCATGATACACACGGCATGTCGAGCATATTTACTCAAGCATGGACCGTACCAGTGTGCAAAACGACCAACGAACATGGACCGGGGATCAGATTCCGTTGGTCGATTAACCTCGAGACAGCCACCGGGTGCATTGAGCTGTGGATTATAGGCCAGCGTGGGGAAAAATATTTCATCTTGTAATCGCCTCGCGTTTCCATGCGTTCGAATAGCGTTTACAATTTCCGTAGCATTTTTGTTTGTCAGTGCAAACTGTACCATGTCCCGTCGGAGTGCGGTGTAGACACTCCCTTTGAACCAAGTGAGCTATAAAGTCAAAGAATTCAGCATTGTCAGAACAGTTGTTTCTGATTAGTACAAGATTTATTGCTTACGACTTGTCAGTGCTAAATATGATTCACAAATGTATGTGGATGAAAGAAATTGTAGAGAGAAGAGGAAATGATGCATCAATTCAACTTCGTTATGCTCATTCAGTACTATCATTTATCAAAGGGGGGCGTTGTGAAACAACCAATTTGTGAGCAGAAATAATCAGGAGTCATAAATGCATCAGGCATCGAAACACTGTTTCAGGCACTCACACATGCATTATTTGGCACAAGCGTAGGCCGATCGAGAACCATCGGCTCCATGAAGCGTTGACATCAATAAAAACACTTTTGTGTTCCATACACCATACACATAGTTTATATGATGAAACGTTCAATGTTAGTTTGAAGTATTCGTAGAGAGTTGTCTTATCCGGATAGAAGAGGTAGTGGTAAGAGTATAATTTAACTGACAACCATGTAAAAAAAAACAAATTAAGATTACGCCATCTGGGATTTACGCACTCTTAAGTTCAATAAATCATTCCTGTTGGAATTTCATCAAACAAACAGTTGCCTGAAGGAATCCCTGTCTGTATAATGTGTGTGATTAGCGAGACAGATTGAAACTCAACTCTCATTTTTATTAGGTAAATCTTGCATAAACTCAAACGGATCAATGTCGCGATAAATCGTATCTTCCATTGTTAGCATTCTAACATTTGATTAACCTCATTATGGGTAAAGGTTTAGGACAATAAAATTTAGGTTCACCGAAAATATTGCACCGCCATGAACGTGTCAAATGTTTTGACTACATGGTTGCATAGTTCGTAATTTCTCCCCTTAATTCGAGGCTAAATAACTTTAGGTCAAAGTTGAAGAATTGTGAGTCGAGGTTAAAGAATAGTACGGTGTTGCTAAACAATGGCTAGTTGCGACTGAAGTTTGATTAGGGAGAGGTTCAGTTCCTTTTCTCTCATACAAGTCGATCAGGAAAGATAAGGAAATCACAGAAAATGAAACAAGAAAACGTATCAAAAACATGGAGAGTATAACCGCTTTAGCGCCGTTTTGACTGAATGATCATTAGAAGTATCTAGGAGACCATATTGACAGAGGCGGAGATCTAGCGAGTGTAACCGTAAAACCTGATAATGGTTGTCTTTATTCGTTGGAGAGTAAATGTCAGGTAACACTTATCGATTTTCAGCTTCCCCATTGTATTAGCGCAATCACTCACCATGGCTACCATCATGGAGGGAGCCCCATCATAAGTCAGATTGAAAGTTTTATTATGGGAATAACTTACAAGCTCGTGCTTCTCTTGTTCCCATAGGATATTGACACAGATGAATGGTTTCACGTCGAACAAGGAGTCACATAGAGTTCCGGGTAGGAGATAATAGATAATGTAGAGAATGTAGAGTGAATTTGTGTTTGCTTTTAGTGGTGTACGAATGTGAGGTGTGCCAAGGTTTCATCGAGTCTCTGCTGGAAAGATTCAATAGTAGATGCACAAACGACATGAGATGGAAGGGAGTTCCAAGAACTGCATATTCTGAATGCAAAAGACTGGCGCCGGCATTCCAGTCGACACTTTGGAATCAGTAGCGAAACATTGAACCCGCGTTTTAATATACTCCAACGAATAGGCATACCGTTCCTAAAGCACAAGTGATCGATAAGGCAGTGTCCTACTACCACCTTGTGTATAATCAGCGTCAAAACTAAAGGGATGCTAAAACCTTTCGGTATAATTACCTTTTTGAATGATAAAGTTTACTTTCCAGGATAATTTAATAAACGAATGTATTAGAATACACCCTATAAATCAACATGGGTGTCATAGTAACGAAACAAAGTGTAACAGAATCACAACGACAAACAAAGCCTGACCGGAACGTACTGCTCCTGGATTTCGTGCATTGCTTTCTGGCTCTCTGCGTCAATTCTACAATCTCTCTTTCCATTCGCAATGAGCCAATCGATAGATATTGAATGCCTCCACGTGCAGTGCAACTCGACTAGTAGAACTGTCCTGATATTCTTGCTCCTTTCTACAGTGTGACAGGTCGGTTACTTGTCACTGTTGACGAAATGAAAGCTCTGCGAGTCGCATAGATGCGCATTAGCATTTGGCTGACTGTAAGGCTCATGGGACGATCATTGTGACCCAATGACCAACAGTTTAAGCAAATTTTGATTTCGATGGCGTTTCATTCAATCATTTGAAATATACTTTTTCAACTTTAAGTGAATCCAACTAATCGCACTCCATTGGAAACTCCAAAAGACGATTGGTGTTTCGGTTGTTAAATGTCACCGATTGGACTGGGTTTGTTTCAACCCCGTCCAGTCGGAATGAATTAACTTCTGCGTAAACAAACAAGAGTACTTTTTGAGTAAGCTACCAAACGAAGATGAAGGTTTTCTATGGAGAAGGGGGGGATGAGTTGGGCAGTTCTTATCCCCCCCCCCCACACACACACACGCATACACCCGTTCCACTTCGGATCAAAGATCACGAACTTTGTGTTCGTGATCGTTGGTCCAGTGTGCATCATAGATACGAATGAATGAACCCGGAGTTTAATGACCTCTGCCGGTCGGTTAAGTAAGGAACCGAACCCAGTCAAGATGGATCGATAAGTCGGTCACCATGCCCAGACGTGAATGTGAGCATGAGTGGAGTCAGTCTAAGCCGAAATAACCCAATGAGTAAATTCCATTGAGGCCGAGTTTCTCTCAAATAAAACAGTGCAGCGAACACTAAAAACAACCCTGCGGGCGCATATGATGTTGCCGTTGAACTGTCAAAATTATTTAGTATTATTAAACGATTTCTATGAATATGCTCATATGAACTGACATTTTGATCGAACAAACTAGTGTAGTACCCAAAATTCTACATAAGAGTGAGATCCGTCAAATTTTAAACTCCAATTTTCGACTAAACATTTTCCTAGAGCACATTACAAATAGTGCTCAGGGTGGTGAAAAAGCTCGTTTTCATTGATTCGTAGTCATGAAAATGCATCAAAATAGATATTTAAATATATATATTTGTCAGTGTTAAACCGTAGAAAGTTTTAGACCGTCAAGGTCTCAGTCGGCTTGACAAGTTATTCAATCATTTTTTGGATCTCTAACGGAATTATTTAACTTCAATGTTTATTTTGGGAAATCTTATAAGCATTACTTTCAGTCTGTTGTATCCAAGCGGGTGAAATGAATCCAAATCACATTGCGTCAATGACAACTTTACAAAGAACAACCCTGAGGGGCGATTTCCCAATCTATTATCCATAAATTTGGACAACATACTGTGAGAATTATTGTTACTGGAACCAAATATTTGTTGTCCTCATAGCAGATATAAGCATTTTTATTTAAACGTGAAAATGTCAAAATCTAGATGTGGAACTGTCCAGTCTTGTTTTTCCTACTTGATTCGAGTTGGAGAGGTTGAAATCGAACTTAGTAGAAGTATGTATATCGATTGTGAAACGTTCAGTAGCCTCGGTGGGATTCAAACCAACGTATGGACGCCGCCTACGTTTTGTACGCACATGCTCTACCAACTGAGCTACGAGGCCACGCCGATAGCACCGATCTTTCCGCATTCGAGTTTACCCATGGCAAGCAACAATTTGAACATTTAGTACAAATAACCGAAATCGGAGCATGAAACATGTAAATTCGGTAGCGAAACCTCTTCAACGACTAAGAGACCTGAGTGAATAAGGACAATGTATGATATTCGAACCGGATAAAAAGGATACCATGGTTAAAGGTTTGCTTGTGTATATAATTCTTGCATCGCTTGTTTGATGGTTTGAAATCTGGATTCCTAACTAACTCTAATAGGTACACTGCCAGGGGTTCACCAACACAATTACAACCCCCAGATGTGTACTTTTTGCCCGCTCACCAGAGTGCAAAATTATCTCCTTCAAGAGAACACATTGAGACGGGTTTCCAAAGTTAAGGCTGTTCGAGACGCTTGTTCATGAGGACAGTACTCAACCACAATCTAAGACACCAAACCCCGAGGTTCAACTGGAAAACGATAGCATCCGTTGCATTCATCTCCTTATTTGGACATGACATAAGAGAAGCCAAGATGACTTAATCGCTGTCTGACTGAAAGACATACAAACATGAAGATTTGTTTCATCAATTCAGTCACAAAAGTGATTAGTTTATTTGGCTAATCATAAAAGAAATGTATTTTCAGTTCTCTTTACAATGATTGCTAGTTCAAATTACTTACATTAAATGAGAGTTGCATCCGTGGAGCCCTTGGCTTTCCAGTATTCGGGTAGTCCGATTCGATTATGTTGGATCCGTTTAGAGCCTTCAGTGCTTTCACCAATTCCCAGTTGGTTCTCAGAGGAAATTCTTGACCACTCCCATTGAGCATGTATTTCCAACGAACTGAAGATAACTGTAAAAAGTGCTTCGCACACAAAATCCAAGCTTCTATCGTTCCGAAGTCACCCCAGTTGATAGAGTAGCTCTGTTGCTTCGGGATAACGTAAACGTTCGGACCCATGCACTGTGCCATAGTTTTTACTTCATTTCTAAATGTCGCTTCCGATTTTTCATCGATATGGAGACAGTATGCGTTATGCTTCCGGAAAACAGCTCTGAGAAGACGAGCAAACTGTGCGAAACCGGTGTGTATATTGAATGAGAATGCAAGTGGAAATTCCAGCTCTTCTTGAGATATCATGGGTTCTTCTCCTGCAATCTTTTTGAATGCCTGACATCCTTGATTCGTGTCCAGCTTCCATGGCCGTTCCTCCACACGGGAAAAATTGGCTAAAGTGTCAGCAAATGCTTCGTTCAATGTCGACGATATCACAATGGGACACAACTGTCTCTTTGTGGCAAGAAATGATGGTAGTGAAATCGTCCTGTTGTACTGTAGCAATTGATATTCTACTGAGAAGGCAATATCTTTTGAATGATTTCTAGGAAGAAATGAGTATACGACCAAAGCAATAAGAATAACTACACAGAAGAGCAAAGCGGTACGTGTGCGATAACTGCATTTCTGGCCCAGTCGTAATATCGGCATAATATCATACATCAAACATAAATTTTTCAATTAATTATACACGTTCTTTTATAAGGACCACATTCCAACCAACGCTCTCACCATATTGGTTAAGTACTGATTTCACACTTGCATCAGATGACATAATACAGCTACATGCAGACTCTCTGTTTGGTGATGATGGATGAGCACCACAACCGGCGTGAAAACTGACAGCTCAGAGTATTCCATAAAATGACCTTGGTCTCTCTGATCACACGTTTGAGTCGCATCGGAGTCTGACAAAATGGTTTCGCACAAAACTTGAAATTGTTTTGATTCAGGCTGGAATTTTGAATGATGGCTTGATTGTACTCGGTTGGACAGTATCAACTTCCTACAAGGCACATTTTATAACTTGCAAATTCACTATAGTTTTTTACGTCTAAGTTATAAACTGAAACTCAGTCGATCAACAAATGTTTTATCGACACATATCTCTTGTCACTTATCGCAAGTAAAACATGGGTATCGGTTGCTAATATTTTTTTCAGTTTAAAGGTTCGACGAGACAGAACGATTATACAGTTCACGTTAATCGCCCATACGAATTCTTTCAATGTAAGCGAAGTTTGACACTTCAGCCAGACGTTGCAATTTAAATAATTCATGTGCAATGAGGTTGTTCATTATAGTCGGTCTTTTAAGGAACTAAAATTCATTTGTGACATATGTACCGCAGTAGTGAATGAGGAAAATACGGCGTTCTTTGCTCCATATGAAACCTTTTTGATATCGATCATGATAACGACGAAGATGCTGCTGCTGAAAACGTTATTAATGATGTCGAATTAACCAAGCGTTTGTTTTTAATGTTTCATTCAAACTCAATTCCGGTTTTAGGGTATATTTTTTCACAATGAGTACACAATTTTAGCCCAGAATTCGCGGTCTCATCGTGACATTTTAATTTCGAGGCGCTCGAAAATATTGTTGACGAAGCTATTCAGGAGCTGCGTCTTAAAGGTTTTGTGAACAGTTTGCAATCAGTGGGATTATGCTTTTCCAATTTACGGTAATGCATCAATCAAAGTCATCTCACTTTGCCTTCAAGGGGCACGATCCTGTTATTCTGCTTTAAATACTTTGCTCACATTGAGATTTTCAATGCACACTAACCACGGTAGACAGCGATTTTCTCACTCAGATTGGCAACCTCATTTATCTCATTCAGTATTCAGTGAAACAAGAAACGTATTAGTTTGCGAGCATTTTCTCGAGAAAAAAAACAGTTTAACGTTGAGAATCTATAACAAATAAATTCCATCCAACTGGATCTCAGTACGTTTAATAGGACAATAATGCAAACAGCAAATTTACCGCCAAAACAGCGTGACATCAAATGAAGCTAGACTGCAAACGGGTGATTTTTCCTTAATGAGATTGACAACAAATGCTGTTGTTATTGTTGTATTGTTGTTGTTGTTGTTGAGTGATCCAGGTATGAAGTTTGCCTTCTGTATCATATGAAAACCGAGAATTATGCCTAATGAATCTCCCGGGCGGATCAGATTACAATGTTCATTGAACATATTCCTCTGTACCGAGAATCCTTTTAATAAACAATCACGGAGAGGTTGATGCAATAGTGATCTTAAACGTGAGATGCTAAGTAAACAAATAGCGCTAATTAGAGTAAAACACTGAAGGTTTTACAATTGGTCAAGTGCAATACATTTCCGTGGTTATGTGATATGGGGATGATCAATTGAATGCACCAATGGAATCGTTTCTATTGCGTTTATTCTTGTCAAGTCAAGTTTATTCCACGATAACTTTACTGGTATCAGTTAATTTTATGTTGATCTACCAGTTTAAATTGTTGTTCGGCAGACTGAGGTCTTTGTGATTAAATAGTGAACAGTTTAGTAGCATCCGTGGGATTCGGACCCACGCATGGATGCCATCTGCAATTGTGTACAGCGCATGCTCTACCAGCTGAGCTTCAAGGCCAATCCGATAACACTGCTCTTTTCACATTTGAATAATCGACCTAAGGAAAACCTGTTGAGGCATTCAACTTACTTGCTGACTGGGGAATTCCTTATGATTCTGGAAGTTGCACGGGTGATTTGAATTCAAAAAGGATAAAGTCTTTAAAAATTAAAGTGTAGTTTTGCTACCTTGGAAAGAAAACAAAAGTGTGGCTTCCACATAGCTTGAAAAGAGTTTGCAAGGTCCGTTTTTGATGGTGAAAAACTAAGGTTACTTGATACTATATACATCAAAGTCAGTTATATTTTTACTAGAGGTGAATACAGTATCCGCATCGGCTGATTGTTCTGAGGTATTATCAAAGCTCTCGGCTAGGTTTCTACGTTCCGTTGACGTCAGAACGGTAGCAACTGTTTAGGAATACTCTTAGTGAAAGCAAAGATCACAGAGAGAACGGACAACCCTATTTTTCTTGGAAGTAATATGACTGTTTATCTACCAAATTGGAGCCTAAGACTTTAGGGCACGACAAACTTCTCGGTAGCCCACACCGACAAAGGGTTTTTTCTTTGGGAACCCTAACCGGAGCCTTCGACTCAAAAGTCTAAACCGCAAGACAGTATGGCGTAAATTCAACGAGTGGGGCGTGAACCAAGCACCCGAGTGGATGCTTCTAAAGACCTATCACGCAAGGCCTTTGACTTTCGCATAACTTTGTGGTTCACTGATGCGTTGATCGTCGGTCCGCTTTTCGGGTTCGGCTCATAGCCTCGTGCACCCAATAAGGCAAGCGGAACGTGGACGGGACAGTACCTTATTGGCTAGGGGCTACCCATCTTCGGCGGGCGCTAGCTGTCCAATGAAGTGCGAAGACTTCTTTCAACGTCAAGAGAAAACCCCAGTTACCCAGCTTTTACATCCATCTAGCGGGACTTTTTGACCGATACACTGCCCCTCACCGTGTTTATTTGCTGGAATGACGTCGCCAGGGGCGGGTGTGGATAGACGAAGGAAGCCAGGAGGTGCCCAAGCATCTGGCTTTGTGAGGCCACCAAATATATTAGATTAACCGGTAGAACGGATGTATTTAGGAATAATCATACTGCACTAACGGGCTGTCGGTGGAATTTCATGAACCGTTAGTACTAACACAGATCCACATTCAAACCTCGCTGATGTCGCTCTTCGATGATACGCAAATTTCAAGGCCGGGACATGCTAACTCGCCAAAGGTGTTACGTTTCTACACCAAACAGTCCAACACTCTCACTATATGTAAATATTCCTTCTACTGACATTATTTTATCCTACAGCGTCAAAGAAAATGAACCCACAGATCGAAAATTGGAAACACTGCATGTGAAGTCCGCTGGAAATGGACTGCAAGTCGCAATGAACAAAGAATAGAACGAACCTTGCTAGAAATCAGCGGTCTTAACTTAGTGAACTCGGATTATTCGCGAGTGCGCACATTCCAGAATTAGGCTTGAACTTCAACTAGATATTTATTGATTGAGAATGGACTCAATTTGTGCACATGGAGTATGGGTCAGTCAGTAAAAAGCGAATCAACCAACATGATCCTTTAACGCATGCCAATAATTAGCATCACACAATGACCAAAAATTGGTTTCGAGCTTCTGATCTAAACAATTCCTATTCCTGTGTATACGGACTCACTCTGACCATTGCCAAACAACAGGGTCACCATTATCCTGGTTCCATCCAGCTTTTACTGGTATCGTGCCTGTTTGACACTGGAGAATAAAGTAAACTTGAGCTCACAAATTTGCTCTGTTAAGCCCAGTTCGGAATAGTGTGTGTTAACATAGTGCTGCATGGAATCTTTCATTCGGAGAGTTCCGGATCCATGTTATTTGTCAGACACACTAAATCATGGATGCAGTGGAGAATAAACTAATCAAATATTGTGAATATACAGCCAACAGCATTGCAACCTTATCAATGGACGACGTGTTTTGGCACCGGTAGCACCTGGCACGTAAGCAAACAACCCGACCTCCGGTCGACATTTCCAGTAAACGTTCTACTGACGTCAAGGTTACAGCTGTTCAAAAACTGTCACCGTGTTTACGGTAACTGTGTGCGCAGTGTAGATGTAGCTGTCCATCTCTTGAACACAACGGACTGAATAAGGGTATCAGTGAAACGATACCTACTATAAGTTAACCTTACCGATAGGTAATGAATGTTTTACCAAGGAAAGCAATTCTAGAGAGAAGGTTCAACCCCATCGAGGAAATATATCTTAATGGTATCATGATTTTGGAGAAACGGAGGTGTCCCGAAATTACCAGTGATCTCAAACCGCTTTAGAGGTAAAACGGGTTTTATTTGGTCCAAGTACGATGCAAAATCGTTTCAGTGTGCTACAGTCGAACGAGTTATTTGGAGGCGAAAAGATGATTTAGTTCTCGATAAAACTGATACAAAATTCCCCATTCTTTTTGTGTGTGGTGTCGGTCCGGAAGAAACGGTTGAAGAACAGATCACAATCAGAACACCTCTTTCCCCAGAACAAATATCAAGCGATTTGTTGAAATTCTGATGTTCATGAGCCATCATTTCTTTTCTGTGTGATAGTGCATAATCTTTTAAATCACTGTAGAAAGAATTTTAGCGAATCACAGAGTTATCATGTGAGATAATGAAGATGAGGAAAGCCAGCAGCGATGGAGATGTTGTAAGACAGAGCATACAATTATAATGATCCACCGTTTAACAGCAAACCTGGGTTTCATCACCAGAGTGACAAACATCATATGTCTACTTGTGTAATGCACTTTATGAACAAAAAAAAACAAGTTAATCAAAAAAACGTATGACCCGTACTCGTAGCTTTCATTTTCATCATTTAAGCTTCACTGATTCCTGTCCCGATTTACAGACACCTGATGTGGATTAAATAACTAGAGAGGTTAAATAGTTGCATTAATACGGAAAGGAAGTTAATGCACTTCAAATTGGGTCAACCAATACAAAGTACATTTCAGGGTAAATAATTCGATTAGAACAAGCCCAATTCATATAGAATCTAC